CTTCACAACAATTTCACACATTATCACTGTCTTTGCAGATATGACAGTTTAGATGTCACTCCAAACAGTGCAGGCACTGTATTTTCCACCTCCAGGACTGAAGTCCAGCTACCCAGTTTCCCTGAATCCCTTCACAAAATATTACCCTGCTCACACTCAAACAGCTCGTCAGGTCCCAAAAACCATTCATCTCCATTCACTCCCGAACAACAACACTCAACACATGCCTGCTGCATGTTCCCATGCCCCTTGCACACAAAATCTCTTTTACCCCCTCCCTCCATCCTTTCCTAGGACGACTCCTACCCTTCCTCCCCTCCACTACAGATTTATACACCCTCCAAGTCAACCTATTTGATCCATCCTCCTCTAAATGACCAAACCCCTCTCAATAACCCCTCATTCATTCAAATGTCAACCCTCTGAATAACACTTTAGTAATTCCCACATCTCCTCCTAATTTCTACACTACGAATTCTGTGCATAACATTTACAGCACACAGTGCCCTTAGACACAACATTTCCACTGCCTCCAGCCACCTCCTTGCTGCAGGATTGTGATTAAATAAAGTGTAACTGGCATTAAAAGAAAATCAGACAAACTGTTGGAGGAATTTAATTAAAAGAAAAAAAAAATGCTGCTACTTCCAACACACACATTCATGTATTCCTCATGTATATATATTCATGAAGTATAAATGAAAACCAATTTTGCATTACCTTAAAGTAAACTAATCAATAGATGTGAGTAAGTGTATTAGAGGAGACACAATCAGAGGAAGGCGAAACCTTTCAAGCATCTCATTCTTTGTCATTTCATGCTTCTCAAAGTTTATTGCTCACGCTCAAACTGACTTTTACATATTAATTGCAAAGTCTAAAATTTAATGTGCAACATTCTTATTTACAGAGGGACCATGCATATAACTTAAAAGGAAAACTAATATTGTATCTGTCAACTTACAGCCTTTTTCCCCGATGACGTTAGGAGAGAAAGTTGAAAGAGAGGAAAGGTTTTAGCAAATATTAAGAATGACTACACAACTTATCACAGTCACCCAAAGAAATTTCTAGCAAATACTGTCAAATAAAAAAAGATAACTTCCATTAAAATTTCATTTATGAAAAAACTCAGAATTAGAATTTGGTATGGCCTATTTTTAAATAAAATCTAAGCAAACATAAGACTTAAAGTGAGCACCAATACCATACCTGCCAAAACAAATGAACACAACTAAAACACTAGGAAGGAATGCATTTACAATGTAACACAAATGTGTAAATCTCATACGCAGCAGCATAAGTTCACAAACAGTACCAAGTTCCTTCCAAGCTGAAGTATCCTTAGAAGAAACTCCACTCACTGAGGATTTTCACACTTGCTAATGTAACTGTCCCCCCCATGTTATATGACAGAAGAAAACACAAACCCTTCTTAAAATCAATTCGGTTCAGAGTACAAGACTAGTCAAGCCAAATGGCAATGTGCTATATACCTATAAGTGTATAATAAGAAATTGAAGAACAATTATGAAGCCCAACACCAATCTGTGTGAGAAGCCATCAGGTAGGAGGAATGTTTGAGCAAGAATTCTGTTGTAGGGAAAAAGATCAATGTACAGTAGTATATATACTGTAAACAATATTAATACATGTCAGAATCAGAAAGCTTTATAAATGAAAATTGATCCACATAATACAATATCATCCACGAGACCAATTACATCTGGACTCACAAGCATGAGGAGAAAATTTTCAACAACCATCCTAAACAGAGACAAAAAAAAAAAAATAAAAACATTAAATACATCAGATCTCACTCACTTTATGCAAATCTGCTGTTATGCAATGTCCTATTTCAATTGATAAAGCGATATATGGAAAGTGCGACTGAGATTCCTTATTTTTAAAACAATTAAGTTTTTTATGAACCTGACTGAGCTCAAAGATGCCAAGGACCCTGGAAGCACAACAGCATAAAACAAGAGACAACAATTTTACAATTGCTAACCTCATCATACCAAAAATATACAATATATGCTTTGAAAATTTTATTTAATGTGGAAGTATTTATCAGCAAGAGGTTATCTTAAACACAGTGTAGGAGGGCAGCTCAAGCAGAGTGCTTATACCATCTATTTCACCTTTTAAACAACACCTCTTATCACTTTTAACAAACACACTTTATTTACAATGAACCTCCAAAGCAGATGCCATGCACTTCGACAGTGCATGCCCCATAAATCGTGCCCACTAGAATATAAATCTAATACTACACATATGCAGGTGCTCTCTGGTCAATTTTATATACAATATGTACATGTAACCAAAAATTAGGAATAATTATGTGGTAAGCTGACAAAGTCTCTTCCGAACATCTTGAAACTTTCAACACAAGAGGTTGAAACTGCTATCAGATTGAGTAGCTACCAATCTGTCATTTTTTTTTTTCTGACAATTGTATAGTATTTTTTCTTTGTAAAATAACGATTACAATTTTTTTTTTAACACGCTGGCCATCTCCCACCAAGGCAGGATAACCCAAAAAAGAAACACTTTCACCATCATTTATACACACTGTCTTGCCAGAGGCATGCAGATATGACAGTTTAGACGTCCCTCTAAAAAGCAAATATCCCATCCTCCTTTAGAGTGCAGACAAAATACTTCCCACCTACAGGACTCAAGTCTGGATAAATGGCTTCAATCTTCAATGGTTGAGGCATCTTATGAAAAGGATGATATTTTTGGGATAAGCTGTAGTTGTAAAAAAAATCGTTAATTTTCTAATATGGTTTTTAGATTTGGACTTGTGGGATTCTGTGTAATAAATGTAAATTCTCTTTCAGGTTGGCTTCCAATTTTCAACACTCATTTTTCTCAAATAAAGCTTCACACCAATTTTGTGTTAAGTTTTAATTTGCCAATTTCAATAAAAAATTTCAAAATTTTATTAAAATGGGAAAATTATAAATTCTGGGTTTTTTTTTCTATATTAAGGGTGTCTCTGGTTATCATCAACTAGGCATAGCCTGTTTTTAATATATTAACCAAAGTGCTTAAAAGCAGGGGCTCAGAGCATGATAAAATATAAGTCATGGTCATCAGGCTCAATTAGTTATGAAACATTCAGTAAGTCACTGATACAGAGGTGAAAGAGAAAAATGTCCATGAAGTTACCTTGTGGAGCACCTTATATAATTGGTTGGGTAGCTGAGAAAGTGCCATTTGTGATTACATGATGTTGCCTATTACATAGGCATTCTTTCAAAAATAAGTCATTATGTACCTCAAACATTACTCATTCTTTACTACTGTTTAATTTACTCTTACAGCACTTATGGTATAAGTGCATGTAGATCTACAAATAGGGAATCGTCATTAAACCCATCAATACCGAACAAAAATCTACTGTTTTACTGATCACTCTCTCCAGATTTCCAGACAAAGTATTCCCCTACTTGTCAACATAGTTTGCACGACAAAACAAAACGTACACACCCTACTATTGTCCAAACCTATACAACACAGACACTCAAACAAAATAATTAACCTAAGTCCTAGAACTCTTCATGGAGAGCTAAACAGAATGCAGACAACACAAGATACAAATACAATCTTTCTTTGACGCATCCCATGTTTTCAGCAACTCACCAGGAAGAAACTCCAAGCAAATAAATGGCCGCAAAAATAACGAAACTGGCTTTAAACCAAAGCGCAAAAAGAGATACCAGTTTGCAAATTGCTTTAAAAATAGTTTCAAACTTCCTGAATGTGTTGATGTAAATTTAACCATAGATCAAATATAAATGTATATGAATTCATCCTGGCTTACCAAATTGCAATCACATCATACACATTCAATGATTGCTGCCCAAATTTTCTATGTTCAATATATATATACATCTTCTTTAACAAACCGTCTGTAACTCACCGAGGCAGGGTGGCCCAAAAAGAATGAAAAACCCAAACAGAAAGAAAAAAACTTTCAATTCAACACTTTCAACAATCACTCCATACATAATCACTGTCTTCTGAAAGGAGGTCTCAAATAATGACAGTTTATAGAACATCCACCAAATTGCCAATACTCAAACCCCTCCTTTAAAGTGCAGGCACTGTACTCCCCATTTCCAGCTAAATATATAATTCTTCTTTCAATGACCGACAGTATCCCACCAAGTGGCAGGTACCCAAAAAGAAAAAACAAAAAGTTTCTCCTTTAATATTAGTAATACATACAGGAGAAGGGGTTACTAGCCCCTTGATCCTGGCATTTTAGCTGCCCCTTAAAACACGCATGGCTTATGGAGGAAGAATTCTTTTCCACTTCCCCATGGAGAAAAATGTGGCATTAATCCTGCACCCTGGCTGAGAGACACCAAATATATAATTATTGTACCTAAAATATAGTAAATACAGGTTTGTGTTCCGATCTCTTCAAAATATTATGCACCATTCTAACACACGATTTGGTTAATTAAAATGATCATTACATTAACTATTATCTTCAGAAGACTTAATTACATATACAGTATTAAACTTCACATTTAAATAATCGAACTATACAATACATGTCAAGTAGTTTTAAGTATTAGTCTGCCCAAAATGTACTTTATAACCAGGGGTTTATCATAATGTATAAGATGAAAGTCACCTAATTTCGTAACAAGTGTGTTTTTTTTTTTTAATTTTTAGAGAAGAATTTTCATATTTCACATCCTAAGTACTTGTATTGTACACTAATTGAAATGAATTTGAGCAACTCTGCTCCAACCCATTTTTTTTAATCACTTTAATAATTAATGCTAGTATAAAAAACCTACTGAGAAATGAATGGAGTTAATATAAAATACAGTTTAAGGAAAGAGAAAGGCTGCAGACATTACACATACACACATTTGCATTCAAGATCCAAAATATGTTGCTTGTAAACAAGCATAATAATGTACTCTATAGGAAAGTCAATAGTAAAAAGCAGAACAGATATCAAAACCAACCTGGATACAAGGCTTTCTGAGGTTAACGCACAAGCCATCAGCATCTTTACTATAATGTTCTACAAGTTCTTGTAATGTTCTGAAGGTGGTCCTACGAGCAATAAAGAACCCTCCTTCGTCTAACTGCCGTATCCGATAATGTTTAACTGTGTCGCCATCTCTTACTGTTAGGGAAAAAGTCAGAGATTCAGTTCACACAAATATTTAAATATACACTGTAATAAATTACATATAAGATGGTATACATATGCACTCTTAACCCTTTGACTGTTTTGGCCGTATATATACGTCTTACGAGCCAGTGTTTCGGACGTATATATACTCATTTATTCTAGCAGCTTCAAATCAAGCAGGAGAAAGCTGGTAGGCCCACTTGTGAGAGAATGGGTCTGTGTGGTCAGTGTGCACTATATAAAAATAATCCTGCAACACACAGTGCATAATGAGAAAAAAAAAACTCCAACCGTGTTTTTGGACTAAAACGCTGACTTTGAGGTGTATTTTCGTATAGTATTTATGGTTGTATTCTCGTTTTCTTGGTCTCATTTGATAGAATGGAAAACATATTACAGGAAATAGAGATGATTTTGATTAGTTTCACAATGAAAACGGCCTAGAAATGGAGAGCTCAAAGTATCGGAAATGTTGATTTTTAAAAAAAAGAAAAAACCAATGTTCAAGAAGTAAGCAAATCATCACCACACTTCCCAAAACACATCAACTGGGGAGTCTAATATTCTTTCAGCTGTGCCAGAAATTATTATATACCAACTTTACAATAAATGCAGTAGACTGCATAACCGTAAACCTTCTATTTTTTTTGTGGAATAAAAAATCAAAAGAGAAGCAAAGAGTAAAATAATAGCGGGACCTAGAGACGTGACTATATGAACAGACATATTTTTATTTTAGTGGCCAAAGAAAGTCTACCATTGTTTATTCTGGACTCTATTTAGAAACTCGCAATTTTTTTTAAATTTGGTGTGAAATTGGTCCAAATTGCCAATTTCAGACCGACTTTATTGATAGTTGAAATTGGAAAATGGCAGTTTCTCTTGTACTCAAATTGATAGAAAAAATGGAGTTCTAAAGAAATAGCTATGAGTTTGGTTAACTGGAACAATGGAATTGGCTGAAAATAGGGCTCAAAGTCAGCGAAATCGCTAATGCAGTATATATTGCCGAGATCCACTAACTTCCCCTGGAACGTAATACCATAATTTTTCATCAAATTTCATACTTTTGTGTATTACCATCGGAAAAGCTTCTCTACATTTCATTAGAAAAAATAATTTTTTTTTTCCCACAAATTTTTTGATGTAGAATGAGTTTCAGAAAGGGGCTTGTGACAGCCAAAGGGTTAAGTGTGAAATGGCAAAAAACATAAACAATCAATGCAATGAAACACAAGTTCGCTGTAGAAATTGTAAAAAGACTGTAGTGTGCATTCATATAAATAAGTCAACAAAATATTTTTTTTTTTATTATCACACTGGCCGATTCCCACCAAGGCAGGGTGGCCCAAAAAAGAAAAACTTTCCCCATCTAAACTTCCATCACTGTCTTGCCAGAAGGGTGCTATTACCTTCCAGTTTTTGAAACTACAACATTAACACCTCTCCTTCAGAGTGCAGGCACTTACATTCCCCACTCCAGACCAATCTGGCCTTCCGGTTTCCCTAAACCCCTTTATAAATGTTACTTTGCTCACACTCCAACAGCACCCAATGTATTAAAACCATTTGCACCATTCACGACCTATCAAACATTCTTCACGCAATGCCTGCTTGAGTCAAGCCTCTCCGACACAAAACCTCCATCTTTACCCCCTCCCTCCAACCTTTCCTAGCCGACCCTACCCCGCCTTTCCTTACCTACTACAGACTGATACACTCTGAAGTCATTCTGTTTTGCTGTCCATTCTCTCTACACATTCCGAACCACCTCAACAACCTTCCTCATCCCTCTGGACAACAGTTTTGGTAATCCCGCGCACCTCCTACCTAACTTCCAAACTACGAATTCTCTGCATATATTCACACCACACATTGCCGCCTCAGACAATACATCTCCACTGCCTTCCAGCCTTCTCCTCGCAGCAACATTCATCACCCATGCCTTCACACCCATATTAAGAGCGTTGTAAAACTATACTCTCGATAACAATTCCCCTCTTTTGCCGTCCAAGGACAAATTTCTTCTTTTGTCTCCACAGACTCCTAATGCATATCACTCACCCTTTTCCCCTCATCAATTCTATAATTCACCTCAACTTTCATAGACCCCAACCGTCTGGTCATCGTCCACTCCCAAATATCTGAATACATTCACCTCCTCCATACTCATCTTCCTTCCAATCTGATAACCAATCTTTCATCACCTAATCTTTTTTTGTTATCCACATAACCTAACCTCTTTCCTGTATTCACTTTTAATTTTCTTCTTTTGCAATACCCAAACCAAATTTCATCCACCAATCTCTACAACTTCTCCTTCAAAATTCTCCCAGAGCATAGTGTCATCACAAAGAGCAAACAACTGTGACCCAACTCCCACTTTGTGTGTGATTCTTATCTTTTTAACTCCACGGTACCCACGCCTCTTGCCAAGACCCTCGCATTTACTTCTCTTACAACCCCACATAAAATAGAGTTAAACAACCACGGTGACATGACATCACACACCTTGTCTAAGGCCTACTTTTTACTGTGACAATAATATTCACCTCTTTCCTACATACTCCTAACTTGAGCTCTCACTATCCTCGTAAAAACTCTTCACTGCTTTCCAGTAGAACTCCTTCCTATAACCATACACCTGCAACAATCGCCACATTGCCCCCCTATCCACCCTGTCACAGCCTTTTTCCAAATCCATAAAACCACAAAGACCTCTTTTAGCCTATCTAAATACTGTTCACTTACCTGATTCACACTGTAACCACCTGTCCACATCACACCCCCTAACCTTCCTAAAGCCTCCTTGTTCATCTTGCTATCTATTTTCCGTCTTACTTATTTTTTTTTTTTAACAAGTCCGGGGCCGTCTCCCACCGAGGCAAGGTGGACCCAAAAAAGAAAGAAAATCCGCCAAAAAGAAAATACTTTCATCATCATTCAACCTCTTCCACCACACAACTGCACATTAATCACTGTTTTGCAGAGGTGTATTTCAGAATAACAACATTTTAGAAGCATAACACATATAAAGATACAACAACATATCCCCTCCAAACTGCCAATATCCCAAACCCCTCCTTTAAAAGTGCAGGCATTGTCCCTTCCCATTTCCGGATCAAGTCCTGACTATATGAAAATAACCGGTTTCCCTGAATCCCTTCACTAAATATACCCTGCTCACACTCCAACAGATTCGTCAGTTCCCAAGTACCATTCGTCTCCATTCACTCCTATCTACACGCTCACGCATGCTTTCTGGAAGTACCAAGCCCCTTTTGCCCACAAAAACCTCCTTACTTACCCCCTCTCTCTCTCAACCCTTTGCGAGGACAACCCCTACCCTGCTGCCTCTCCTTCCCCTATAGATTTATATGCATTCCCATGTCAACAACTTAGATCCATTCTCTCTAAATGAACCAAACCACCTCAACAACCCCTCTTCTGTCTGCCCTCTGACAAAAACTTTTTATTAACTCCACACCTTTTCCTAATTTTCACACATCCGAATTTCCTGCATAATATTTAACACCACACAATGCCCTTAAACAGGACAATCTCCACTGCCTCCAACCGTCCTCCTCGGCGCTTGCATTTACACCCAAGCATCACACCCACATAAGAGTGTTGGTACTTAACTATACTTTCATACAATCCCTTCTTTTCTTTGCCTCCATAGATAACGTTTTTTGACTCCACATATACCTCAATGCACCCTCACCTTTTTTCCCTCATCAATTCTATGATTAACCTCATCCCTCAAAAATCCAATCTGCCGACACTCAACTCCCAAGTGTATCCTGAAAACATTTCACTTCTTCCATACTCCTCCCATTTTGATATCTCACATTTCTTATCAAAATCATTGACAACCGGACTCAGACACCATACTTCTTTTCTTATGTTCACTTTCCAACTTTTCTACCTTTACACACATTCCCAAACCAAGCCACTAACCTTTGCAATTTTTCTTTAGGATCTCCCATAACACAGTATCATCAGCACAAGTAACTGTCAATTCCCATTTTGAATTTGATTCCCCAAAATTTTAATCCCACCCCTCTCCCCGAACACCTCTAAGCATTTACTTCCTTTACAACCCCATCTATAAAAATATTAAACAACCAGTGACATTACACATCCAAGTCTAAGATCTACCTTTTATACCGGAAGTATTCACCCTCTCCTGCTACACACTCTAACCTGATCCTCGCTATCCTCATAACAACTCCATTACAGCATTTAATAACTTACACACCTATTCCATATACTTACAACAGTCTGCCACATTGCTGCCTCTATCCACTCTATCGATATGCCCTTTTCAAAATCATAACTGCAAATAAAAAAACTTCCCTACCTTTACTCAATACTTGTTCACAATATGCTTCAATGTAAACACATGATCTACACATCCCCTACCCACAGATCTGAAACCTCCTTGCTCTGATCGCGCATCCTACATTCTGTCTTACCTCTAATTCTTTCTTTCATTATAACCCTAAACCGTACACTTTTCCTGGTATACTCATAAACTTATTCCTCTATAATTTTTACAGTCTCATTTTGTCCCCTTTCCCTTTAATATAAAGGACTATACATGCTCTCTCCCTCCGACCAACCTAGGTTACTTCCCCACTTTCATTAATTTATTAAACAAAAGTACAACCACTCCTTCACTATATCCCCCCCCCTGCATTTTAACAATTCTGTCATGATCCCATTCCAGGTTTCCAGCTGTTTTATGACCCCCCTTTCATTTAACGTAATTCCTCAACGTACCTCCCCCACCACTTACATTCTGCTCTCATCACTCTAAAAGAAGATAATACCTCCCTGACCAGGCATGAAAATACTGCCATCCCTTTTGTTCTTCCTTAACATGTTAAAAGTTCCTCAAAATATCTTCGGCCATCTACCTAATACCTCCATCTCCCCATCTACCTACCGCCCCTACTCTTTTTTTTTAACTGACAAATCAATACTTT